CCAAAGTCCTTCAGCCACAACAGTGTGAATTCCTCAGGGAGGTGCCAGTCTCATCCTCTTGGTCCTCCCACGCGGTTCTGGCGAGCTAAGAAAATGTTTATTTCTCTGAGCCTGGCCTTCATAATTCCATTCTATCACAGCCCCATTGTATTTTATTTTTTGAATCTTAGTTTCCTCACTTTAATTCTGAGCTTCAGAATACTTTTCAACCATTCTTTAGTAAAACCGTGGTATTAGAAGTGCTAAGTTGTTGTTGTTGTTGTGTCCTCTTCTTTTATCTTATTGTTCAATGAACAAGTGAGTAGTATTGTGACAGGGTTTACAGATTTCTAGAAAATGTTATAAAGTTGCATCTAGGGCAACACAGAAATGCCAGTATGAAGCTTAGAACCACCATCTCTATCAACCCTTTGAGAGACCTGAGTACAACTATGAATACATATCCTACACATTACCAAATAGATATCACAGTATAATCCAACTGTTAACATAGCCAATTTTTAAACTCATCCCCAGGTTTTATTTTATTGTAGTATGTATCTTGGAGGCTTTATGTTGTCATTACTCAGGACAGTTGAAATAATTATACGATATGCATAAAGTACAGATGAACAAAATGCCTCATTTAACACAAGACTGATGGATATGGGGACTTCTGATTTTAAGCTTTCAAAAAGTAATTCAGTTGTAATACAAAAATAAAAAGAATGATTTATATGTGGATTTCTATCAGAATATCCTAAGCCTGAACTGTTAATGATTTTAATGAGAGATTAAATTTAATTCAAACATGATACAATATAAAAACATCAGTGGGGAGTTCATATCTTTCTATTGGACCAATGAGAATTATGCATTATAAACAACATCTTTTTCCAGACAATAATCCATCCAATCATGTATATGATACCCATTGTCCAGATGTTCTCCCTTGCAATCAGTCAAGAATATCACAGTATCAACTTGAGTTCTGTCCAGCATCATTAAAAAATAACATGGTCACCAATGGAACATCTATGTAGCCTGTGAGAACATTTTCCATCCCAGAATTCTCCTCAGGGCTTCTTTCACTTCAGAGTTCCTCAGAGTATAGACAATGGGATTTAGCATGGGTATGAGAACTGTATAGAATAGAGATAACATTTTTTTTACTTCTGGTGAGTAGCTGGACTTGGGCTTTAGATAGACAATACTTCCACTTCCATAGAACAAAGTGACCACAATGAGATGGGCTGAACAGGTAGAGAAGGCTTTTTGCTGGCCCTGTGCTGAAGACATGCTTAGAATTGTGATGATGATACGAATATAGGAGATAAGAATAAGCACAAAAGGGAAGATGATAAATAGAAATGTAGAGGTGGTGGATTGTATCTCAAATAGATAAGTATCAGCACAGACCAACTTCAAAACTGGTGGTACATCACAGAAGAAATGATTAACCTCTTTCAGTCCACAAAATGGAAAGCTGAAGATCCAGGCTGCCTGCAACAATGAGGCAGGGATCCCAATCACCCAAGTCCCACCCACCAGCTTCTGGCAGAAGCCTCTGTTCATGATGGTTCTGTAGTGAAGTGGTTTACAGATGGCAACATACCGGTCATAGGACATTGCAGCTAAGAGGAAACATTCAATACATCCAAAGTAGAAGAAACCAAACATCTGAATGGCACAGCCAAGAAAAGAGATACTTTTGTCCTTCTGCAGTAGACTGATTAGCATTTTAGGGACAGTGTCTAAAGTGAAACAGATCTCAATGAAGGATAAGTTTCTCAGGAAGAAGTACATGGATGACTGAAGGGCTGAGTCTATTGTAACTATGACAATGATAAGGATGTTCCCAGACACTGTCACAATATACATCACCAGGACTAGAGGGAAAAGAAGCAATTCAGCATTTGGCATGTTGGAAAATCCAATTAAGATGAATTCCATCTGAAAAGTTTTGTTTCTCCTGTTCATTTCTTCCAGAAGTTATTAGATTATAGACTGAATGCAAAATGAGAAACAATGCAATAGTTCTATGAGCTTAGTCCTCTAATAATTGTTGATATCAGTTGTAAACACAATTGTTGCCTGTTTCAGCTTATCACTTTTTATG